TGCGAGCAGGTTCACGGGGACTCAGCACAGACAGGGCTCAAACGTGGGCCTCACGCCAGCATGGCTCTTCTTTGGGGCTGGGGTGGGACACTGAGACCTTCTCTGTCTCGTCGGCTCTACCTGCTGCAGCATCGGGGAGGCAATTTTCTTTAGTCTTGGAGAAGCAATTATGATACTATGAGCATAGTCATGTAAATCAAATAATTGCTGGGAGATCTGGCCATACAGACTTATAAAATCAGGCACTTAGTGTCTGTGGAGGCATTTCTGATCACCTCCACCAGGAGACTGACCAAAAGCTGTGCTGCTCCTTCCCTAGTGAGCTAAACCTGTCATGAAAAATCACTGCATTCTCATAACCCTTTAAATTGTATTCCTCCAGTCTACAGAAAAAAGTATCAGCAGAGGCCCAACGATTTAGAAGTGTTGTTATCTGGTGGCATAGGCTGGTTCAGCTCTGAGCTGACTGGAGCTCGACTGAAGGAACCTGACACAAAATACTGACAATCACCAGTGGGAAATAAAGGTGCCCCAAAAATAGAATCACTGCTGAATGTCATTAATTTTATTTTCAAAATATTTGCAGTTTATGCAGAGTGCTGAGCTAAAAGTCTCATGCATGTGGACAGTTACATGTAAACACTATATATATTTATGTATATGTCCTTCTCTCAGCTGGTTGTGAACGAGTGAGTAGAAGAAATAGGGCACATAGCTTTTGGAACTCCAAATTTGAAGAGGTACTGTTTATTTGACTCAGAAGTACACATAGCCCATCAAACAGGTGGATGCTAAAGAAATGGAAAAAATGCATTTCTTATACCCTACAGACATGACAATTTCAGGAAAGAAGTGGTTTTGTATGTTGACAGGTTCACCCTTTTGAAGATGAGATAATTATCTGTATGAGTTCACTCTGTGGCTTCCAGACCTGAGCGAGTATGATAACTCCTGAGCTCTCACAGGGCTCACCCCGCAGCGGTGCATGGGGAGGGAGGGTGACAGGGGGTGGGCTGTCCTCCTGCTCTGTGTCTGCCCAGAGCTGATGTGCTCACTGAGCCTGCTGCTGGGGATGGCTGTCAGACAGCTGAAGGTGGGGGAACGCCGAGCTCACCCGTGGGAGGTGGCACGTGGCACCAGGGACTGGAGTCCTGCTGCTGACGCGGTGTCTGGGCCGGGGCCCAGTTCTTGTTAGACATGTGTGCCACCCGTGCCCTGCTCCGGAGCCTCTGCCCGGCCAGAACGGGGATGGAAGGGTGCTGCTCACAGGGACCAGACCCACAGACCTCACTGGCAGCAGAGCTCAGTCCCAGAGGGCAACGGGGGCTTGCTGTGTGGCACCTCCTGAAAATACGGGTAACCCCCCCCCCCTTTAGTAACTGTCTGTAATAACTGGTCTGAGCAGACATTGCAGTATGATTCTGTTCAGGTAATGGCAGGTGTCTTCCTGGGGGTTTTGCTGGACTGAGATTTTTGTGCCACTTCTGAAGCTCTCTTTGCACCAACTCAACGCACTCTAACAGGATTTGTTTATTTGTCGTTTGCCTGGTGCCTGAGTGTGGCTGTGTTCTGAAGCCGCACACCTTAACAGTGCTGGGGTTGTGTCCTGGTGACCCTGCCTGCTCCACACAGCACCCCTCTGGGGCTTGGGCAGGGCGTGTAAGAGAACAGATTACAGACATCCCTGCTCATCCCAAATAGCAGAAGTGTGGTGGCTGCAGAACACAGCTAGGAAAAGACTAGTACAGAGGTTCTGTATGAAGGCAAGAGAGAACCAACTCTCTAAATTTGAGAAAATAGGTGTTGCAGCAGAAGTGTGTGGTTTGCTGCACGATACAGGGATGTTAGAGGAAAAAAGGGTGATTTAAAGGTTTAAAGTATAAGAGAAATGGAGTGAGAAGTTTAACAGGATTGACTGGTAAGTCTTCAAAGCTGGCCTTTTTCTAGTGAAGCCAAGAAAGCCCGGCACCAAAGCCACAGGTCCAGGAATTCCTAAGGTATGCTGTGTCTCTCACACACTGAAACAGTGTGAAATACAGCATTTCAGCAAGTTCGACTATCACCATTCAGGATAAGCCAGGATGGGCCTCTAGATTTTTTGCTACCAAGGATCTCGGGGCGGGGGGAGGGCAGTCTGCAGGTTTGAGTGTGGGATGCATTGCTGCAAAAGTAGTAATTTATTTCCCAAAGAAGGGATATGTGGAAGATGACTTTAATGAAGATTGGTATGAAGTAATTTATATTATAATTTTAGTCGATGTAGCAGTTTTTTTGTGTAGGCTTTCCTACACAGGCGAATGAAACTCAACACAAGTAGCAGTTAAAGGTACTGCTACATAGTGAGAACGTGCCTCCACAGTACTCTGCTTCTCTTCTGAAGCCTCAAATGTGTTCTGTTTCCTAGTTGCTCAGCTGAAAAGCGTGCGAGCCCAAGTATATGACAGTTCAGACAGTGCCTGCTCCTGCTGGCAACGGTAGCCAGCCACCGATGCATCCTCCTGTTCAGCCACGTAGGTTTGGGACTGGTAGTAGCACGTCGTGTAAATCAACAAACTGCCAGAGGGTATAAAACATTGTGAAATGATGTTAGAAAATATTCCTGACTGACGAGAACACACATGGGTCAGGAGAGAGGATGATACTGCCAGGCAGCAAAGGGAATTGATTGCATAGCAGAAAAAAACCCATAGGAAATCAAGGATTCACATTTACTTTTGTAAAAAGAAAAAAGAAAAACAGAAAAAGAAAAAAGGAAAAAAGTGAGCATTTGAAAGCATTTTGGAAATTCGACCCCAGTAGTTGGCAACAACTGGAGTCAGATGTTACTGGCCAAATCCAGCAGTTCTTCACTAGTGCACAGGCAGAATTATTTTTGGTCTCAGCAGGAGTTTGGCACAACAAGAGACTTCAGAAATGGTTCCAACTAAAGATAAAAGAGCTGAGGAAAACCTACAATGTATTTAGATACAGTTAAAATATGATTGGAAATAGTCAACGCAGGAGGTATATAAGGATCTAGATTCTTAGAGAATGTGATACGTTAATACACAAATCCAAATTACTTGTTGTACTACATTTGGATTTAGAGCAGCTGGAAGGGTTCTCACTGTGCTAGCAGGCTTTGAACCAAGCAATATAATCCCAGTTACGGCATCAGCCAGTGGGAAGGCACCCACTGCTACTTAGGAAGTTCAGAAAAGTAGAAAGGCTGAACAGCTTTAATGGTCAGGAAACACGACCACAATGAATGCCCTTTCTTGGGCATAACCAACTTCAAAAATTGGTGCAGAGCCTGGGCCGTGTTTCTCTAAGTTGTGCTTTAAAAAGACAGAGCTAATGGGGGAAAATGAAATATGTAGGAGATTAATCCTCCTCCTTTGAATTTGTGCTTAACTGAAAAGTTGTCATCCAAAATACTTGTATGTGATTCTTCACTATTTATGGAATGAATTCAGTTACTCCCTTCCAACTGGAGATACTCCATGATTCCAGGATTCAGTCATACCTGTACAGTCACAGTTAGTGCGGTGGTATCCCCAGGGAGAGTCACCTCAGTGTCACTGGGCTGGGACAGGTTCGTGCCTTGGACAGAAGAACGCTTCCTGTGCTGTGTTTGTGAGGCACAAATCTCCAAAGGGTTTCAGAGATTAAAGACACCCATTTCTTCAGGGGTACCTGTCAGGATCTGGGCTGTGTTTCAGCAGCACAGCGTGTACCCAGGTCCTGCTCCGGGCAGGAGAAGGCACGGCCTGAACCCTCGCGCTGCAGTCGGTGGGATGCTGTGCCAGTCAGACACGGGAAGAACTGTCCTGCTGACATTTCCCACAGCATTTCTCACCAGAGTGGTAAAGCAAAACATTGAAAATAAAATTAAAAAGCATCATGTTAAAAAAATTCGTCACTGACAGCAGTTTTGGTATAGTTTACTTTATTTAGCGTGTTGGGAGGGAATTGAATTAATTTTTTATTTTTATCTGTTCCGATTCACTTATTCCAGTAATAATTAGAAGTAAATGAGAGTTATTCTTTCTGTTAGATCAATTATTCATAACACAGATCATTTAAAAATGAGTTTAGTGGAAGCAACTTACTTCATTTTTGCTAAAACTGAAAAAGAAATTAGCCAAATTAGTTAAAATAGCTTTGAACTCCATATTGACTACGGCATTTGTGCCAGAATAAAAATTCATGACATATAAGAATGGTATAAATGATTAATCATTTTAGTTCATGATATCTATATTTTTATTTAATTACATCTATGCATAATATAAACTGTCTGAATCTTGGGAATCCAAGCCAGAGAAGCTGAAGAGTCTTCTTATGTTTAACATTCACCATGTGTTGTTTTCTTCTAGGGTTAATTTGTAAAATGTAAACCACATACTATTTGTATGCAGTGATTATGTACTATTTATAGAAAGTCTTGACCATTTATAATTATCCGACATTTTTATCCATAATGTCTGCATATGACTAAAGAGATGTTTATAGAACAGACAAAGCAATGCTATTTTTACAGTTGAACTTCAATTTATGTAAAACTTTGAGTATTCTATGCTACATGGAACAGAGAAGGGATATTGTCTACTCAGACAGCTCTCTATCGAGCAGACTTAAGATTATTTCCGAATAGTAATCAACACCATACCCACGGGAGACTGCGCTGTTCATTTTAAGCAGCATAAATTGAGAAAAAGAAAACTCAGTCTGAAGTGACCAAAAACTGGTTTCTGAAAGCCACAAGGTCCAACCCTGTAACAGCTAAGTATCTTGATCGCTTAAAAGTCATCAGAGGTTTCTAGAAATGATAACACAAAGAAATCACGTTGGTTTTGTGATTTCTGTAAAGTCACTGCTGACGTCTGGCGCAGCTCAGAGCCCTGACTCCATCTTCCTCTGGTGGCACCCTCTTGAACACCCTGTACCTGCAGGGACCTGCACGGCACCCATGCGCTTTTCATGTCTGGGTTACGGCTGCTGATATGTTTTTTTCCCTCTTTCTTTCCAGAACTCTGGAAGTTTTGGTGAGTTTGAATGAAGGGCAGTCTTTCATGTCCAGCTCATTAACAATCACTGCTTCAGAGTGTGTAAGTAAATGGCTAACATCCTTCACTGTAAAACCCTGAAACCTCTCTGTGCAGAGAAACGTGGCACGTAGTGAATCCCAGTAGATGTCTGGAATGCACAAATCCACCTCACTGAAAAATACACCTGTGCAGACACATGCAGAATAGACAGAATTTAAAGATACATGATTTCTTAATATGTAGGTATATACGCACATACACATATATATGTCTTAAGTACCTTTGTCTGTATTTTGAGACATGCTTAGAATCTGTTTTATAGCACCACTACATGCAACAAAGAGTTTTAAGCTGTTTTGAATTCCCTGATGAAGTGTGTTTGTATGTGGGGGTTACAGACAAGATTTTTTCTTTCTGCAGTTACATAAAACAAATCCCTTAATTCTTCCCATTAAGGTGGCAAACAGCTTTATTTTAGGAAGATTTTTTTTGCAGGATTCTACTTAAATATTGCCGTATGTATCATCTGAGACTTCCTAATAGCCCACAAAAGCCATCCCTTATGTGGCAGCTCGGAGATTTCCCTTTGCTTTGTGACTCAGGCTCTGCTGCAGGGGTTTCTCCCTGCGCTGCTGCCCGTCCTGCTGGCTGCCCCGGGGCTGCTGCTGTGGGCCTTATGCAGGACTATATGGAAAACCCTGGAATTCTCCTCTCCCAGGCCACCTCGGCTGGCTCTGCCCGACATCCCAGCAGTGCCTGTGTGTTCCTTGGCTACGCAAGGCTTATTTTTTTCTATAGCTTGTGAATTGTATTTTGCTAAATGTATCACAACAAATCACTTGAGCACAGTGTGCAGCTGTGGCTTTCAAAATACTGGGACACTTCCCTGCCATTGGGGGCCTGCTCGCTATAAACTGAATCATGTCCCAAGAATCAGGTGTGACACGGTCACCCAGGGTCCCACTCCAGCCCAGGCCCACCCAGCAGATGGGTGTGTGGAAGGTGGTTACAGCCCTACAGCAGGATACCAATACAGCCCTACAGCAGGATACCAATACAGCCCTACAGCAGGGTACCAATACAGCCCTACAGCAGGATACCAATACAGCCCTACAGCAGGATACCAATACAGCCCTACAGCAGGGTACCAATACAGCCCTACAGCAGGATAGCAATACAGCCCTACAGCAGGATAGCAATACAGCCCTACAGCAGGATAGCAATACAGCCCTACAGCAGGATACCAGTGCTGCATGACCTCAGGTACCCGACTGCGGTGCCTGAGTAAGGGGTGTGGGCTCTCAGCTCTGTTAATTTGGGGAGAGTCTGTGTCAAACACACCTAAGGTAAGCCTAGGGTTAAGGTAGTGTGAACATCCTGCTGTGTTTCTATCATGGGCTTACAGAAAAGAAATAAAACCGGCTTCTACCTTAAATCACATATTTAGCAGTCAGTGACTTTTCCAACTTAATATATAAAATTTCTAATCTCCCATTTCTGCTTTCCATTAATTTCTTCTGCCTTCTGTATTACATAGGCTGGGCAGTTAAATTTTTTGCAATTAGACACAAGACTACTATGTAGGGATGGAGGCTTTGAAAATGTGCTGTGCATGGATACTGTGTTTCTTAAATTTGTCTCATTTAAGGTGTGACTTTAGCACAGCTTTTCTGTCAGGCATACAAGCATACAGAACAGTACCTTCTGCGTATCAGCACATATTTTTCCAACATTTCTTTTATGGCTCATAGGTAATTGACTTAAAAGAGCAAAAATGACATTTTTCTTCTATTCATGTAAAAAATAAAAACTGAGTCATCTCAGCTTAGCCCCAGTTTCAGGAAGAAATCTTGAATAGATCGAGAGCTGAAGAGACACACATTCCCCAAATCACATTTCTGTGTTTCAGGGCCTCTCTATCATTGAAAGCATTTCAGTCTCACACCAAAGCGTGCAGTAATGCAGGGACAGTGCAGTCACAGGAGGATGCTGGAGACTAACAGCAGACTGCTTTTCATTCGCTTTAGTCCTTTCAGAGAAAGCAGCACATGTTAAGTCTGTTCCCATGTCCCCTTAAAAACTGCTAAGATTGCACAGATAGGTAAAAACAAAGCACTGATGCAAAGCAAATCATACCAGATTGCTGGGTACGGCTGTCTTCCCTCTGCGGTACTCGCACAGTGCTTCTCTGTGGTCAGAAGTTGTCACTAACAGGAAACAGAATGAGTACAGATGTGTATTGACAGGAAAAACTGTTGTACTTCTGATCATCCTTTTTTTTTTTTTTTTTTTTTTTTTTTTCCCCTTTCATACATGTTGCAGCAGAGACGGCTCCATACAAGAACTGCTGTTTCCATAGTAGCAGATGGGCAACTGCAAGAAATGGGTCACTGCTAGAATTGTTCCACTAATTGTGATAGCTGAGCAGCTGATGGCTACTCCGTATACGAGAGTTACAAGTTACAGCCTCCCCCAGCACACGCACATTGCTGCAGTGAAAAGCAACAAAAACCAGGCTGCATCGAGGCTCGGAGGCGTGCATCCTACCTGTTTCTTGTAAATGCATATGCCTCGCTGCACCTACAGGTGCATTTGCAATGCTGTATCTCCAGTACAGCTTGTCTCACTTTGACAGAATTACTTACACTTTACTCCAGCTTCAGTGATTCCCTGGGTTTCCGTCCTTTCCTTTTCCCCGGACGGAATCTCAATAACTTCTGTTCTCATAAGGTCACTGTGGCATTTTTCTCAGTATTGCTCTAAACCAGCACAGCAGCACAAAAGATCAAGTGTAAGAATGAAAGCACCTACAGAATGTGGGTTTGAGGTGGTGGGAGATTAATTTCTTCATTAAAAGCAGTATTGCCGGAAGCAGCAACACTCATTCAGAATTTCTAGGGATGGTGGCTTCAAGTTCAAATAGCACCAGTGCAAGGATTTAGTGTGCTATAGTCTGTATACTGTGAATGCCCCACATGTGTGGGTGATAAGCACAAGCACTTTAAATATGCATTGTTAGTAGAGATTCCTTAAAATCCCACCCAGCCACAGATCTGTACAAACCTGTGTCCTCGTGGGAGGAGAAGGGCATCCCTCATCCACAGGCTTAGGAGGAGACTTCCCCTGTTTGTGTCCAACAGCTCATTTCTTAGCAATGTACTCTTTCTTTTCTTCAGGTTGGGCCTCATTCTTATCTCAAGTCCATCAGTTTTACGTCAAAATGAATCCACTGACTGCAGCAGAATAAGCAGGGAATTCCCCCAGAATATGTAGGGAATAAGAAACATGTGCAGCATCTTACCACCTCCTCCCTCATTTCAGTGTTGATACATCATTCACTGTGATAGGCAGCTCCTGCTGAAGCATCCCAGCTTTCCTTCATCATACCTCATGGAACTGAGGAGCCTTACAACGCAGGGTGTGACTGCACTTGTGCTGAATTTGGCTGAGACCCCCTTCCTCATCCTTTGTGAGGAATTTCTCCATTGGGAACAACAGGGTCCAGTGGATGGGAACAATCTGTTTGGGATCTGTATCAGTCAGTAGGAGGCTGGTTTGGGGTGAGTGGGGAAACCAGGCAGGAGGTATTTGCAACATCCACTGATGCTGTCTTTCTGCTCTCTCCGCAGTCGAGTGGAGTAGGGGCGCTGATCGCTGTTCTCGTGCTGCTGCTGTTGGCGGCACTGGGTCTGCTCTGGTGGTTCTGGCCCCTCTGCTGCAAAGTGGTGAGTAAAGACTTACTGGAAAAAGTCACCGAGTCTGTGACTCATGATTATAATTCATACCGTGTTGGGAAACACAGATACCATAGGAAACAGGCTGAGTAACAGGAGAGCTACATGGGACCTAAGTCATCTGTAGAGGGAGTTTTCTTTAATTCATGACACGCAATAAATGGAAGAGGAGACCAGCTCCAGCAGTGTGGACTGCACTCTCAGCGGTGCTTCTGGCGTTCTGAGACCTGCACACACAGGAACTGGCAGCAGCTTGCTGGTGTGCTGCTCACTGGCTTTCTTCTGAGTGAGCACGTGTGATACTTCTGGGTAATCACTGATAAAAGCCTTCTCTATTATTTGAAAGTTGTTGGCCGTAATGGTATGCAGATGTTACCCTGAAATCAAGGACAATTTTAAAAGTACTATCAGTAAAATTGGTATTTGTAGTCCATTACGTGCTCTCAAGTTGGAAATCCCTTAGTGTCTTAGTAATCCCTTGGACATATTGCGTCTCTTTCCATCTGAGTGCACTATTTATCCTTCTAGCAGCACTCAGCAGGGCTGTGGCACTAACACCTCTTCCATCTCCTTGTGTGTTGGGGTTTCTAAATTGGTGAAGTTTGTTACAGCTGAGGTTGTCACTTTACACATTATTGCTACTTGTGGCTGTGTCATTTTGGGCTGTGGTGCCACTGTCCTTGACAAGAGCGGCAACATACTAGGAGACCTCCTCTTCCCTGCCACTGAGACTGCTGCTCTGGTGGCTGGAGCGCCTGGTCTCATGGGACAAAGAACAGGAGCAAGGAAGAATGGAGCAGCCCTCAAACCATGCTCCAGAATCAGATGGACAGAGAGAGAGGCAAAAGGTTTTGGGGACAGAACAAAATGAGCGTTTGGAGCCACGCAAGTGCATCATCCCGACCACCTGCGAGCAGATCAGGTGGTTCCTGCAGCTTCAGGTCGTGGGGGCACTCCATCCTCACCGGGATGCCGTCTGACAGCGCTCCTTTTTATGAGGTCCATGTTCACTTACAGACTGGGGCAGGGGGACTCCTTTTTGCTTTTCCTCCTCCCCCGACTCCCTTTTTAAAAGGCAGTTCACTGTTGACAGTTCTTTCACTCTTCCCTCAATATCAGAACATATGATCGCATCAAGCTGGCTTCAGGCTCTGGTGCTGACATTTCCTAATGCCCACATCACGCGAACATTTGAAAAGTGTTAATGAGCAGATCAAAGGGACTGTTGCCTGAAGCAACTAACTTTTTTTCTTTCTTTTTTTTTTGGTAAGAAATCGGCTCTCCTCCAAACTCAAGTCTTCATTCTTTGCAACTAAATAAATAAGATGCAGCCTTGCCTGGGATGATGATAATAAAACAAAACAAAACAAGATTAGGCAGTAATCCATCTCTACATGCAGTTAATAAGACAGCAGCATTATTCAGAGTCTCCTGTATTGAAACAATCTGAATCTTAAGTTCAGGAAAAGTTAACCTGAGATATTATGATCTTCAGTATGTGCAGTTTCATGCTGCATTTGCGTTGTTTTCTGCCAAAGCCGCATGGGTTCCTTGGATTTCTCTTTTTAAAAAATGGCTTTCTCCTGATTTTACTTGAAATATCACACAAGACTGAAAATAATCTTTGTGTGTGTGCGTGTGTGAGAGAGAGTGTGAGTGTGAGGAGCCTGTGGAAACATAAGGATGCAGGCATTTACATTCCACTTCTGTCAGCAGGGGTGAGTATCTGCTACTCAAAGCAGATTATTTTCTCACACCACTGTCACATTTAAAACAAGCTTCATTTTCTGAAGCTATTAGAAATAGCAGCTAATTAATGTATTGGTTAGCTTTAAATTGAGTTTACCCTACAACTTCAGGGAGTTTAGCAGCTGGCATAGGATTAGATCCTTTGCTCAGGGAGTCAAACAAAAACTATCATGGACTTTTGAAGCCCACTGAGGTTCAAAAAATAGTGTTTTTCCTGATTTACTGAGGTAGAAATTTTGATTCTGTATATAGGAATATAGGAATATTGATATATATTAGGAATATATATATAGGAATATCAATAGGCATAGGGCCCAAGTGAACTTTAGCGTACATCGCAAAGAAGTTTACTGTGCAAAGATGTCTTTGCTCAGGAGAGATTGCAAGACCTAAGGCTTGTAGAACTACAGAAAGTGGAGTAATGATACTATTCAATATGTATTTATATAAATCTGTAACCTAGCTAGGCCTTTCCCCCCTGTACAGCTTGCAGTTTTGGCAGCAAAATACATTTTTTAGAGATAATCATTAGAGACAGGCAAAAAGAAAACAGGAATGGGGATTCAGTAAAATAAGGTGACCCTTAATATATTGAAAGTATTGTTTTATGATTTCCAGTCTTTTAATTGCTTTCAGTGAGAATGAAATATCTTCATGCTTTTGAAAATCTTGCTCAGCATCCAAGTATCTCTCAGAATCTGTCCCATGATCCCTCTGTGGTGTTGTTTCTTGTTAAGTTAGGGCAGTAATCCCAAAGATTACAGAAAAGTAATTTCTGGCATGTTTTTGCAACATCATAGCAGCAAAGGGATGTCTGGTAAAAATCCATAGTTGACATTCCAATCCACTTGAAGTACTCTGAGCTTGCTTGATGAAGAGTTCAGCATCTTAAACCTGGAGGGCTGTGGAAAAATATTTCCAAGGGTACCATAATGATTTCTCTTATTTCATAGAATTCCTGTATCCAGTGCTAAAATTCCATTGCTTGCTTAGGCAGTAACTAGTAACTACCTTTGTGTGACGGTGACTTGAAATGTATACCAAGAAGGAAAATTCTTGATTATCAGTCAAGAAAAATATGTTTCTTTTAGGTATGATGCTATACATCTGTGCAGTGACATTATTTATAGGTACAGGAAGAGTAAATGAAAGTACTATAATGAATAGCACGGAGTGAATAAAATAAGACGTATTTCAGTCAAGGTACTTAATCCTGTATTAGGAGGTACACGTTTGTCATCACGGGCAGTTTTGGTTATACTAAGGCATAGCAGAAACAGACTCCTTTATATTCATGGGGTATTTTTTAGTCATTTCTATACAATATTCAAGCACAAAAAATGACTTGGTATCACTGAAGTACCTCTTTTTAGCTTACATGCCTGCATTTCTTGTGGAAGAATGGCTGTGCATTCAGTTTTCATCTTAGCCATTTACGAGGGTCGCTGCCTTCCTCTTCCCCTCCCCAGGAAGAGGAATTCAGTGGATTCCCGTCAGTACCAAGGAACTCCCTGAGATTTACAACATGTATGTAAGAAAGGGAACAGGGAGAAACTGTAGGTAGAGGTTTAAATATAGGTGTAAGTGAATTACCCTAAGAGCGGGCCTTATCCGGAACCAGTTTAAGAGCCCTGTGAATGTAACTTCAGTGCAGGCACTGAACAGTCAAGGACCTACTTAATACTTAAATTATTAGATCTGAAATGTGAGATCTGCGGAAATGATCTGGACGTCTAGAGGTGAAGCCTGAGCTACCAGAAGGCATTTCACACTTGTCATTGGGCCAGAAATTATCCAGCAGCACAGCACAAGGAAGCAGGCATCTTGGCCCAAGATTATGCAAGATCTCCCATAGACCTTGGGATGCTTTTCCTCCTGGGCTCGCTAATTAACTCCATAGGGTTTCATTACTGGCTATTACTTAGAATGACTGAGTCTTATCCGGTCAGGAAGCAAAGTGGCAGACACGTCTGCCCAAAGAGTGTCTGCCAGTCAATTGATGTTATTTTCTATTAGACGGATGGTGTTAATTTCCAGAAGGCCTTGATAATCGATACTCAAGGGACTTGGCAGCAGCAGTTGCCAGTTTGCAAGCAGATGTGGGGGGCTCAGATGGAAACAGTTCACTTAAAATTTTCTGTTGGCTTTTGGATGTTGCCAGTGCAATTCCTTATGCTTTTATATGTTTGGCTCTTTCAGGTCATCAAAGATCCCCCTCCGCCTCTGCCAGCTCCCAAAGAGGTAAGGTATGATGGTGCTCATGGCGCTGGTTACACAATGCCACTCCTCTCTGCTTTCCTTGTTCTCTGAACCCAGCTCTTTGTCCCAGCTGCTGGGGAACAGAGCTGTCCCATGGGAAGCCTTCAGTCGAGAGCGGGATGGCCAAAGTCCAAATCTCTGTTCTGTCTCAGTCGTCTCAGTGTGGCGTGAATTAAGCCCAAATCCACAGAAATACTTAGGGGCTTTATCCCAAGATAGCTGAACATTATTTTTCCCATTCTGCAGCAAAAGCAGAAAGACTGAGTAGCTCTTGTATAACACCCTAAAAATTCATGTTTGACTGAAACAGCATTTTTCCACAGCTTTGGCATTCCAGACACTGAGGAACCCTTATAAGGGAGTTTCTCTCCCTCTTGTGGGTAAGAATGCACTAGAGGATCTTCTGGTGTCTTCAGTATTTTTGCCCCTTGGTCTCGATAGAGCCAATTGCTGGAGCGCAGTCGGTGTACTCGGACAGTTAAACCCACATAAGGCACACTCGATGGAGCTGAGGCAGCCAGTTTGACAAAGGTTGGCTTAGGAAACTGTGATCGGCTGTGTAACCTTTATCTGCAGATCTGCTGAACACCGTCTGCTGAATCCAAATGAGGGGGGGCTGATGATCTGGCTCTTTAAAGGCATTGTATCTTCTGTAGAAGAAGCCACTGCAAATCCTTTTCTTTGTGTGTGTTTTATTTTTATTAGTGGAAAGGAAAAGGATGAGGCAAACGAATGATTGTCAACAGAATCCACAGTTAGATTCCCCATTTGGACTTCCCTAATGGTTGCCACTGATGCTTATTCCATGCAAAACATTAAAAATATGTCCAAACATGACCGGATTTTGTTTGGAAATACATAAATACTTGGTACCTAAGTACCTGATCTTTCATACCTAACATAGGAAAACTTACTCCTTGTGAACTCTAGTGAAATATACTAAAAAGACATTTAGTGTGTGTGTGTCGGGGGGAAAGCATCTTTTTAAAGTAAATGTTACTTGAATTTATTGACAGGAAGAAGAACAAGAGCCCTTGCCTACCAAGAAATGGCCCACGGTGGACGCTTCCTACTATGGTGGACGAGGAGTTGGAGGAATTAAAAGGATGGAGGTTTGTATGATACAGAGATGCCAATTCACTAAAACACAAGCTGCTCTCTGAGGCTGGAAATGGTGGAAACAAAGTCTTCTAAAGTCTTCTGAGAATACAAGGGTATAATGTGTGCTTCCTTCCCAGTGACATAAGCCTTGTAAAAAATTTTTTACCGTATCGAACAATTTTGACCTTGGCTATGAAAGAACAGCTTTCAGTAGTTCCATTTGACTGGAACTTTAAATAGCTGCCTAAAGACATGCTCTTTCCATCAAGCTAATGAGAAAGAGAGAGTGAGAGCCTTTTCTGAATGTTTTGGAAGAAATTACAGTGAAACATAAGTCCTTCAACTGCAGGCCAGCCAAATGCACTGACAATGGTGACGCTAAGGAGAGGCCTGATCCCAAAGGAACTCACAGCGACAACAGTGCCTGTCTTTGAAGAGACACGATAGCATCATGTTAATTAAAACAGAATGAAAAGCGTGCATCCTTATGGGCATGTCCTTATGTCAGATTTTATAGTCACGTCAGCCTTTATGGAATTTGCAAAGCAGTTTCCTGCAGTTTTTAACTTCAGTCTTGGAAACTCTCTGTCTGAAATACCCACCTAGGCCACATTGATGTATCTTGATAAAACTTTAAAGGTGTTGGCCTAAGAATCAGCTTTGTTTGAGTTCTTTTTAAATGCAGCAGTAGACCATGCAAGTTTAAAGCCGTGTTGCTTATACGTGCTTCCCTCAGCAGTTTGGAATTGCTAATTTAGAAGAGCTTCAGATTTTAGAAAAAGAAAACAGTTTGTGCAGTGCTTTTCAAAGGCAAACTAGAAAATACTTTCCAACATAAAGAATGACAAGCCTTGATTTCTGACGGGAGCCATGATGAGCCTCCAGGAGGAGATTCAGGAGGGGATCCAAGATTTAATCATTACAGTTTGTAAATGGGATCTTGCACAATGAAACAGAAAACCGATCGATATCTCATGAATGCAGGTAACATCAGTGCCGTAAGGAAATGCACATTCATCACATGGCAAAGATACAGCATTTCCTCTTCAAAGAATAGAGCAGAAAGTAATGATTAGGTTAGAAAACTTTTTCATCTGTGCGAGGAATTTTGTGCAGGACTAAGTGCTAAATGTGTAAACCAAATGAGATTGCTGACAACACAATCACGGGCTCTCGAAAGGGACCTTGTTCTGTGGAGCTGTGTCTCTTTCCCTGGCAGCTGAGAGTACTAACAAAATTTGGGGTTGGGCACCACATAGTAACCGCCTCAGCATTTGAACGTGGAGCTGTGTGAGTGGGCTCTGCTCGGACACAGCGGTACCACACCTCGTACCTCTCTCTGGCTCCTTTGGGGAATCAGGGCACAACAAATGTGGAAAGGAGAGAGGAAACAAAACCAGTCTAACCTGATGGTGAAGGTCAACCGGCCAGAGGGAGGTTATTTCTTACCTGACAGTTAAACGTGGTTTCTGTGCTGGACTAGTCCTTACATTTCTGCCCTGTTTTCAGTTCATGCGGTAATGCAGTTGTCTACTTTTTGTTGCTTCTCTGTGCTCTATTCTTCTGCCATTCTTCTGGCAGCTTGAGTCTTCTGGCAGCTTCCTTGCATAGAGAAAAGGAGAGAAGGAACGTCTTACTTCTCTTTGCTTGTATATATTCCCTTTTGGGGCAGTTACATGTTCACTTCTGCCTTCACCACCAACTTCAGCCCTCTGCGACAGTCCAGAGTGATTTAGCCAGTGTTGTTCATTCTTCCTTGATCTGTCTTTGGCGTTGCTTTCAAGTTTTACGATGTCATTTCCAGACCCCACCCACTACAGGCAGTAAGTTTTTATGTCAAAGTTGTGTTGTTTGACTCCACAAATTCCGGTTTCTCCTGGGTGAAGTTGCTTTAATCTGAAGGAGAAGGTCATTTTATCAGTATGGAATCCACTGTCTATCTCTAAATGGTTTTAACAGTGTTTAAAATACATTTTAACAGCCTCATAAAAAACACTGTAAAAGTACCATTGATCACAGTCAAAGATACAGATGCATTTTAATGACTCAGCAGGGCCTACTTGGGACATGAAAGCCCATTCAAATATTGCAGGGAGAGGCTTCCCCAGTGAGAAAAAAAATCACTAAGCAAGTCAAACACTAAAGTTCAATATAACAGAAAGGATCAAAACAATCCCCCTCCTAAGAAATAACGGTCTGTGTTTTACCAAGGTGAGTTACCAGCATTAAAGACCAAACTGAGCTGTGTCATACTTTGCTGCTCTCATTTTCTTCATTGAGATTGCAGCGGTAAAAAACACTTGGTGGTGGTGATGAAATGACAAGATTTTTCTCTAAGGTGTTAATTTTTTGGAAGGGGGCTAGGCTCTAGTTTGCCTATGTCTTTTTCTCACTTTCTGCATCCACACATTCTACATAGGGCGCTGATGAGGATGCAGGAGTCAGGCTGCTCCCTTCTCCCATCCTGTGGCAGAGTTAAACCCGCACATCGTAAGAGTGTCCCCAGCGACACCTGGAGTGGTTTTCCCCCTCCTCCAGGTAGCAGAAGACCAGGGCATGTCTTTTTCCTGGTGTGCCCCTTTGCAGTGGGAGAGTTGTTGCATCCCACTAGTTTCTTGTCTGCTTTTCAAGCGCTTGATTGGTAGGTAGCAAGACAGAACAGACATATACCTACCGAGCAGTGTGCAGCAATACTCTTAATTCTTTCCCTGGTGGGGGAAGGTCAGTCTTCTCTGATTTTTCTTGGATTCTTCTATTTTCGTGTCTGGCATCTCCAGTCAGGAGGTCCCTGAAAAAAACCAAGTATGTTGGTGGGGGCCTGCAGTAACAGTTAGCTGTGTTCCAGTAACAGTGTCGTGACTCATCAGCATGTCACATTCATTCAAGATGTAATGTCAGAATTTAATTTCCTGGGTTTAGGTGGATCAGGTCCTCCTTATAGGCCAGATTGCAGCAGATGGCATAATTTAGAAAGTCTTGCACTGAAAATAATCCAGGCCAGTTTTACTAAGAACTTTAAAGCTCCAGCCATGCTTTTAGATGCTCTTTTTGGATGATAAAGTAACAGTCTTGCCTACGTTTGTTGTCTTGTCTAGGTTTGTCTCTTTGTACAGTGCAGCAAACATCCTTGCTCAAACTGCTGCACAGTGATTCCAGTATGAGATGAAATAAGACTGCTGTAGCAGCACAAATCATCTCTCTTAGAGGGAAGGGCTTTTCCTGTATTTCCTCTTTACAGCATAGTTAGTACAACCTTTTATGGAAGTGGAAATCTGTGATTGTCTCACCAACAGCAATAATTCAGGTTTTTCTCTTTGAACCCTTTGTATATATTTTATATACTTGTGGCAGTGATAAAATACACATTGCTACATGTTTTACATTTACTTATTATGCTGGTTAGACTGCTTCATCTGTGTTTGCTCCAGTACTTGTCTTCTTGCAGAACTACTTGAAAACCTAAGCAGTTTCAAGGAGCTTCTGCTAAAACTTCCTCAGGTATCACCTTCTGTCTAAACTGGGGTTCTCTACAAACATGCTGTGTTAGGAAATCTGGGGTGACAAACATCTAGGCTTTCATCAGTGCCAGATTAAGGTCTGGTATTTTAGGATAAGTCAGAACTGGAAATAATATTTTTACATCATTAATTAGAGAAGATTTCACAGATTTCCTGTCTCCTGTACAGCCTGTATGATGCACAGTAGAATTTTATCCCAGTATTTCTCTTGACTTTTCACTACTGAGAGACTCATGTTTACAAATGTATTTAACTAATGCTTGTCATCAAAAATGAAGAGGGAATATTTTCCTCAGTCCCTCCCCTCTTGTTTATGCAGAACTTTTCTCAAGTTTAAACTTTTTTAGCTATTTCTGTTGTTTGCAACAGCATCCTTGTCCTTTGCATACAGTGTATTTACTACATCTGAACTCTGGCTTTGCTTAGGTTCGCTGGGGCGATAAAGGATCCACTGAAGAAGGGGCTAGGTTAGAAAAGGCAAAAAATGCTGTGGTGAAACTCCCAGAAGAACCAGAAGAACCTATTCATCCTAAACCACGTAAACCAAAGCCTACCTCACCAGCCATTCAGGAGAAGTGGTATACGCCAATTAAGGTAATCTTTTTATTGTTAATTTTGTACTGAAGGCTGCATTTTGTCTGCCTTACCAGTCTCACCCATGCTGAACTGTACATTATTTTTCAGGCATTCCATTCCAAGTGTGGTGCACTATTTTCAAACTGAGCACCTACTCAGGATGAATAGCAGGAGCAGTTTATAGCCCTAAATGCAGTACTTCATCATTACTGCCACATTCTGCTATCCTTCCCTAAAAGGGACATATCATACAGCAAGAGTACTAAAATCTACAGGGGCTTTATTGGTATTTGGTCTATCTCTGTGTATATCTAATTAAGCCTAAAATGAGACAGTTTATACTAAGTTTTAAACATATATATGATTGCCAACCAAGAAAAGCAAAAAATTATATAAAACAGTATATGCAAAAAGTCTGATAAACAAGTGAAACATAATAAGTGCCGTAAAATAAAGACATCTACATAAATACAGACACACACGGCCGTGCGGGGCGGGATGCTCCTGCCAGGTGCCCACACTGCTGTGCCTGTGGTGCACTCGCCCTGTGCGGGAGGCACGGTGCAGCACACACCAGCCCAGAGGGCCCAGCTTCCCGACAACCAGGAGTGTGCTGCACACGTGCTGTAAAAACACAACGTTTATGTGGGAGAAATCCCAGACGACGTGCGGCAGTTCAGCCCAAAATTCTGGCAAACAGACATATTACCTCTGGTGGGTCCCAGCAGAGGTGAGTGCGGTACCTGGCATTGGCTGATGGGAGCGAGCAGCACGGCAGCTCTCTGGGGTGGGACACAGCCCAGGCATACGCTTGGCTTGTCTGGCTGTAGGGAACTGGTGCTCTGCTCTGCCAGCACATCTCTCCATGGCTCTCCCTGGGCAGTAGCAGCAGGCGTGCTGTGCTCTCTCTGACTGATCCGTTGCTCTCGCCGCAGGGTCGCCTCGACGCGCTGTGGGCGCTGCTACGAAGACAGTACGACCGGGTCTCGTTGATGCGGCCGCAGCAGGGAGATGAGGTTTGTGTGCGCGCGGGTATTCCCTGTGGGCAGCAAAGGAGGAGCACGGTACACCCTTAAGTACCTGACCTTAACCAAAGAAAGCACTGCAGCCAAAGGGGTGCCGCAATGGGAAAAATAACGTGTTGGGGAAACAAAGTGCATTGAAAGATGTATCACACCAGCCAGGAGTGTTGCAGGAACACATATCTCCAGAAAACAGAATTAAGGATTCTGTATTTTGTGTGTGTTCAGCTGGAAAACAAAAACATAGCACGCACTTGATGGAATGTGAACTCTCTGTAACAAATACCCAAATCTTTCTTATAACCAGCTATTTGTAAGAGTAGAGTCTGGCACTCAGAGTACCAAAACCACATCAAATTTAAGTGACCACCAGTAACTTTTGTGCAAGTTGCTTCATGTAGCTTTACAATTCCATGCCAAAGGCAACTTTCACAGAAAAAAGGGTGAGGAAACTCATTTCTCCATCAGGCCTTTCTTCAAGTACGCTCATGGCCCATGAACAAGTGGCCTTTACTAGAAGGATGTTCATAAACTGGCCCCAGATGGCTGTGACAGATCAGATTCTCTCAGACCACGAAGCCGTAGTGTGCGAGAGCACTGTTTTTGCAACATACACCAGAAAGGTGACATAAAAGAATTGGAGGGATTAAAGGGGGAGGGAGTTAGTTACCTTTGAGAGAACGCGAATTCAGTATTCAGGTTATTTTCCTGGGACGAAGTTTGGTAGTATTCTAAAGGAAGGAAAGATGAGATTTAATTAAAATAAGGAAAAGCGTTGGAAGCATGACAAAGTGCAATGGTGGAAACAGACAGGGAGCATAGTCAGACTCTAGTGTCATCATTCCAGTTGTCCCATTGACAGGTTATTTACTGTTTGTATGAATGATGCATCTTACATGTAGCAGAATTAACAATAACAAATCTATATACAAAATACACAGTACAATACAGTTGAACAGGTAAATTCAATATAAATAGGAACGTAGAAGACACGGTGCCTGAAAAGGCTAAAAAATTGTCAGTCAGGCCCCGTTTTGAGGATTTCTGACCATAAAGATGGGTAGTTACTGTAAAACTTACCTGCCAGGGAAGGCTTTGCTGAGCCATTGTGAAGTCAGGCATCTGCCTTCTCTGGACTTGACAGGAAGACACTGACCAACATCTTGGTTTATGGAAATCAGAGGAGTACCCCACTAATCTTCAGTATCCCCACTGGAAAAGGAGTAGAATTGTACTGGTGAATAAAATCTAAACCAGTGGTTGTTAAGGTGTAGCCTGTGACATTGTAGGACTGCAATTTCTGTCTGGCATGTTATTTTGTATCTTGGGGAAAAATATTTCATCTTTTTAGTTGCTCATAGCTTGGGATGTTGAGATGTCAGGCGGTACCTGACAGGTCTGCGTGGGTGCAGGGATGAGCAGTGTGTGTGCAGCGAGAGGCTGAACAGCAGCCACACACTTGTTTTGCTTTGTCTTCTTTCTTGTATTGTTTAAGAACTTGGTAGTTCCCATTTGTAGAAGAATTCACTGCTGAATTCAAGTCCTTGATCAAGTAATTGAAGTGTAGGCATGAGGTATCAAAGCCGAGTGAGCGTTTTCGTCCGTCCCCGTCTCCTGTCCCCTCCGCCGTGCGGTGCCGGGGGTGGCCCGGCGTGGGGCTGCGCGTCGCAGGCCCGCACTTTGATGGTGGGGGGGAGTCCTGGGAGTGATGAATTTTTCAGGCAGCGGGGGCGAGGCGGGGAGGCTGTACAGGTGTGAGCTGGCAGGTTGGCGCCGACATCTGCTGCGGGCCGGGCGCGGGCAGGCTGCGGCGGGGCGGCCGCGCTGGCGGCAGATGCGGCAGGAGCCGCACGACAGGCCTGGTCTCACATTTGCCGCCTGGGGGCTGAAACACTAAAGGTAGAGTGGGGGTGGACACAGCTGCGCTCCCAAACACGCCTCCGGCACAAATAAAGAGATCTAATGTAGTTTGACTCTGTTGTGGTGGGGAGATGAGGACAGAGAGCCACTTCAGAGACAACTTAGCGCTGCAACATCTGCCGCCAAGTTTCCAGGGAGTGACAGGGGACAGCAGGTACGGATCGAAGTCCCCACATAAACAGCCTCCGTTAAGCCCTGAACTCTTTTGAAGGGCTCCCATCAAACATCGTGGAGTCCGCAGCAGGAGGTTTTGTTTTCAAAGCCGTGTTTTGTTTTCTGCATTAACAAGATAATTTATAAATGATGCATTACCCTGTGTTCATGCTCCAGTTTATACTTTCTTTCCTTTTTCTGTTAAAGGGGTGATGAAGAATGAACCGTGGTGGTTTTGGGGTACTTTGATAAGTCAGTTGACTGTCGGAGGTTTGTAACCGAGGATATGGCACCGTTCAGCCCACAGCGTTGGGCTGGGCCAGGGAGCAGAGCTAAACGCCCCTACAGTGGTGACCATAGGCAGGAGGAGTTAAAAGCACCTCTTCTTCTTACATGTTTTCTGCCAATATTCCTGCACTGGCAGTATGGCAATAATGCCTATTAAAAAAGGAAAAAATCTTTTCTGGGTGGAGTAGAATTTGCTACAGCTGTCAGATAGCTTCTCTGCCACCATAAAGAGCGTTGCAGTTCTCCCCCTGTACTGAAAAGAAGAAATTTGAGTTGTCAGTGCAGTTTTTGTTAGTAACTGTTGGTTCCATTGGGCACGATTCAAAAGGGGAAAACCAAATTTGTTTCCTTAATTCTGGAAAACATCCCTTTTATGGAGTGGACTGCAGTAAAAGCAGCTACATTTGCTCCCTCCCTGTCCGAGGAGAGGGCAGCGCGTGTCCCACCGGGCACAGCCCTTGCCAGCCCTGCTCCCGAGCGCCCGGCCGCCCCGGCCGCAGCAAGGAGAAAGCTGGCAGGTTCCACGGGTCGTAGGTCTGTGGGAGAGACCTGACAGCTTCCACTGTCTTGGGCCTTCAGATTTATGAACTAGTCCCGCGCCCCTAACCAGATTAGTTCCCTTTCCATTAACCGCCGAGAGCGGGGCAGCTGTCCGAGCGGCTGGCTGCAAATTCCACAGTGTCTGCTCTGCTAATCGCCAGGCTTTTCAGATGAAGGAGGCAGCAGATAACAGGATTAAAGTTTCACGACCCAGGGTTTTCACAGCCCGAGACGCGGGCGTAGGGGGATAGAGAATGACTTCTGTCATTAATCTTAATTGATTGCCAAGAGGTTTTAATCTGGGTTATTAATTAGGAAGGTCCTTAACACACTTGTCTACGTATCAACATCAGATGCTCTTTTGGGACTTTTGGGACATATGGCCTATCCTATATTTACATTCACACAATTTACACATACATAAATTTCTGTATGAAGAAATTCTTATATGTATACATGCATACAAATAGCTGTAGAAGCATTTGCATGCACAGAGGCATCACACACTCTTTGGCAAAATGTGATGAAAATAAACCACTTAGAACAAAGGTTAAATTTCCACACAATAAACATGTATTCCTCTGTTTATGTTGATAAGTATATTAACATATTTCAACTATAGATGCCATTTATCTAGATTACCTTTCAAATGGAAATCTTTGATTTGCAGAGTTAAGTCATGTTTAACTGAAGTGCAGCAATATCTGTGTGTGCCTCTGGCCATTCAGAAACATGCAGATTGCAAATACTACCTTTTTTACCTTTCACAATTCTGATGAGTTAGCGTTCAGGCCTTCACTTTTCCTGTTTTTAAGCAAGTTCCTGTTGGACAGACAGGATGGATAGAGGTGCCACTGTCCACAGCTGCAGCTATATAAATACCTGATAAATCCCAGTAACACTGCTTCAGTGTTCACCAAGGTACTGTGTGCAGGAAGGAACATGAAACTAGGCAAGAAAAGGCTGTGACAGAGTCCTGGCGTTTGAGTTCTGTGCAGATTCAAACTGTGCTACAAATTTCTGCAGTCTTTCCTTCCTTTCTTTACACAATTAATCCCATGTATGGAAATGGAGTTCGGGCTGAGGAGCTCTTTTGTTTTAAGTTCTCTGTGAGCGACAGCAGAAGATTTCTGGTTCTTGCTAGGCTGTGCCATATCCTGCTTGCCAAAGCAAAATGCAAACATTGTAAGAACACAACCATTTAGTTACTCAGGAGCTGAAAAGTCTGCTCTTAGAGCGTTCATAAGAAGTAAGAATGGCTTGAGATACTTCAGACTAGAGAGAAGAGTGTAATTGCTGTTTTTTAGGAAGAGAAAAAAAAGGCCTATAATCAGGCAGGACTTACTGACGACCAAGTCCAAGAATTTCCCATTTTTCCCCGGGAAATGAGATCGATCTCTTGGCTCACCTAAAAAGAGACTGTAGAAAGCAGCTGTAGTGCTGTAGCGACCTCCATCAATGGGGAAGCACACAGAACAATCTGGAAGCCCTTCCTCGTGTCCTCCTTGGAACCGTTACACACAACTCTTGCCCATTTTCTGCACATCATCTCTTCCATCTTGTCACAAGTTTGAAGTCCAAGAATGAAATTACTTTAAAGACTGTGGTTCCTTGACATAGCTCTAAGCCTGCCTTTTCCCTATGAGTCACAGATAAAGAAGAGGAAGTAAAATAATCTGAAACCATGTTGTAGGTGAAACACCAAGAGTGGATGAGAAACTCTCCAACTGCTCATTCCTTTTAACTGTGTATCCATACCCCTGAGAATTTGCTTTTTGACAACACTGTAATGAAGAGATTTAATTTGGAGCAAAAATAATTCATTAGTCATTTAAGCTCCCATAGATTATTAGGAATGGTGTGGTTTACCAGAGATGGGATTCTCCGTAGCTATAGACGTGAAAGGTCTCAGTGTTCTTCTACAGTGGTCTGCCATGGTTTAGGAGATTCAGGCTGTGTTTTCACTGCCATTTGGAGGAGATTGTACAAATACTTTATATTAGATAGAGACGGGTGATGATGGAAGCCAACTGACCAGGATCTAGAGAGCCTCTGGGATGGGAAACTTGGTGACAGAATAAGGTGAAAAGAAA